GGGGAAAAAGGGACACTAACCCACTGTTGGTGGGAATGCAAACTGGTCAAGCCACTATGGAAATCAGTCTGGAGATTCCTCAGAAACCTGAATATAACCCTACCGTTCGACCCAGCCATCCCACTCCTTGGAATTTACCCAAAGGAGTTTAAATTGATAAAGAAAAAAGCGGTCTGCACCCTAATGTTTATTGCAGCACAATTCACAATAGCCAAGACCTGGAACCAACCTAAATGCCCATCAATGGTAGACTGGATAAAGAAATTATGGGATATGTATTCTTTAGAATACTATACCGCAGTAAGAAACAACGAAATCCAGTCATTTGCAACAAAATGGAGGAATCTGGAACACATCATGCTGAGTGAAGTAAGCCAGTCCCAAAGGGACAAATACCATATGTTCTCCCTGATCGGTGACAACTGACTGAACACCAAAAAGGAAACCTCCTGAAGTGAAATGGACACTATGAGAAATGGTGACTTGATCAGCATAGCCCTGACTGCTAATGGACAACTTAATACATTATCCCTCATAGTATTTTTTTTTTGTCTGTTCTACTTAATATGACTGGTTTAATTCTGTAATTATCACACAGTTATTCTTAAGTGTTGAAAATTAACTGAAATGTGATCCCTGTTAAACATAAAAGTGGGAATAAGAGAGGGAAGAGATGTATAATTTGGGGCATGCTCGGGCTGACTTGCCCCAGTTGGTAGAGTTGGAAACATACCAGGGGATTCCAATTCAATCCCATCAAGGTGGCATGTGCCAATGCCATCTCACTATTCCAAGTGATCAATTTCAGTTCACAATTGATCATAATGAAAGGACTAAGAGTCAAAGGGAGCACATAAACAAGTCTAGTATCTGCTAACACTAACCGATAGAATAAATAAAGGGGAGAGTGATCCAACATGGGAAGTGAGATACTCAGCAGACTCATAGAATGGCGGATGTCCTAAATAGCACTCTGGCCTCAGAATCAGCCCTAAAGGCACTCGGATGTGGCTGAAAAGCCCATGAGAGTATTTCAGGCATGGAAAGCCAAGACACTCTGGCAAAAAGATCTCTGTGAGTGAGATCCCAGTGGAAAGAACAGGTCTTCAAAGAGGGAGGTGCCTTTCTCTGAAGGGAGGAGAGAACTTCCACTTTGACTATGACCTTGTCTAAACAAGATAAGAGTCGGAGAACTCAAGGGGCTTCCATAGCCTTGGAAACTCATGACTGGTGCATAGGGAGATTACTGATGCCATAAACAGGAGTGTCAATTTGTAAAGTCAACAACAGGAGTCACTGTGCACTTACTCCTCATGTAGGATCTCTGTCCTTAATGTGCTGTACACTGAGGCTTAATGCTATAACGAGTACTCAAACAGTATATTTCACTTTGTGTTTCTATGGGGGTGCAAACGATTGAAATCTTTACTTAATGTACACTAAACTGATCTTCTGTAAAAAAAAAAAAAAAAAGAAATTATCAATTCCCAACTTGACTCTCACTGGGATTAAACACGACAATAGGTCTGATCTGATTTCATCATCATTTAAAAAAAATCATCTATTATTTTTCACTTTATGTTTCTGTGTGGGAACAAACTGTTGAAATCCTTACTTAAGGTATACTAAGCTGATCTTCTGTATACTAAGATAATCGAAAATGAATCTTGATGTGAATGGAAGGGGAGAGGGAGTGGGAAAGGGGAGGGTGGTGGGTGGGAGGGACGGTATGGGGGGGAAAGCCATTGTAACCCATGAGTCGTACTTTGGAAATTTATATTCATTGAATAAAAGATAAAAAAAAAAGTTTCAAGGACTGTCACAATTTCATTTTTTATTTGAGGAAATACGCTGTTAATGGCGTGAATAATCTTGGTGCTTTCATCTAGATTTTAAACATTTTGAAGTAAAGGAAAATATGCACTGATATTTTAACTTTCGAAGAAAAATGTATTTTCTTCCACATATATCAGTCTACATAGAATGATGATTTTCTACACAATACAAGTAAAGAATGAAGTTCAGGACCAGCACTGTAACAGAGTGGGTTAAAGCCCTGGCCTGAGGCGCCAGCATCCCATATGGGCGTTGGTTCTAGTCTCCGCTGCTCCACTTCCAATCTAGCTCTCTGCTATGGCCTGGGAAAGCAGTGGAAGATGGCTCAACTCCTTGGGCCCCTGCACCTGCATTGGAGACCCGGAAGAAGCTCCTGGCTCCGGGCTTTGGACTGGCGCAGCTCTGACCATTGCGGCCAATTGGGGAATGAACCATTGGATGGAAGACCTCTCTCTCTCTCTCTCTCTCTCTCTCTCTGCCTCTCCTCTCTCTGTTAACTCTTTCAAATAAAAATAAATAAATCTTTAAAAAAAAAGAAGAAGAAGAAGAAGAAGAAGAATGAAGTTCTACCCACATTTCTATAATATACTTTCTCTCCCAATCATATAATGGTTATTTCACTACCATGTTCCTTAATTTGCCCTTTCTCCTTCCGTCACTACTTTTTAAAAAAAATTTTATTTGTTACACAAGTTTCATGTATTTCATAAACATTTAGGAACATGATACTTTCTACCCTGCTCTCCCTCCCACCCACACTCCAAACTACTTCCTCCTCCCTCTCCTATTCCCACTCTTAATTTTTACAAAGATCTATTTTCACTTCACTTAATGATCATAAGTTCAACCCTAAACTAAGGAAAGAGTTCAATAAATACTATGAAGAAAAAAACACTGTTTCTCAGCAGAAGAAACAAGGGCTATAAACAGTCATGTAATCTCAAAATATCCATTTCACTCCAATACATTACATTTCAAGTACTCTATTAGTTTTCAAATGACTTTACTTCAAATTCTTTGAGAAAGAACTCTCTCTACTTCTCACCACCAATCCTTAAACTTACTTTGGTCATCTTAGCCTTCTTTCCCTATTAAAATGAAAGTCTCTCTCCCTACTAAAATCCCATTCCTTCACTTGTACTCTAGCCCCTGTATCTTCTTCTCAAAGATTTTCTCACTAAGTTAATAAACAGCAATCTTAAAGAAGACAAAAACCCAGTGAAACACTCCTTTTTAGGGAATCACTGACCTTGAAGTTCATGGAAATGACAAGAAGAATGGTTCCTCTTTGTAGAATATTTATAGAACTTCCACATTTTTAAAAATTTCAACTCAAAGTAGATTAGGGAATTGGAAAGTGATTCTATTTTCTTATTTGCTATTTTTACACAATTGAGGTTTATATGGAAGAAGAAAATAAGAATGAAAACTTTTTAATAAATTATTGTGCAACTGTTTAGAAATTTTTCTCATAAACAAGTGTTTAATCTTATCAAATATGCAAGTAGATCATATGAATTTTCTCCTTTAAATAGGTAATGAGGTCAATTGCCACATTTTTTTATTAAGCTTTCTTTAATTACAGCTTTGTACTGCCATCTGTTTCCTGCCCAAGCTGTATCACATCTAAATATTTCTTCAGTTTTTTTCATGAGTGAGTCAAAAAATCACCTATTCACTTTCTTTTGAGTTCAGCCTAGATGTTCCTCCCTCTCTCCTATTAATTTCTTTCAGCTTTTTCTCATCCTTTATTCACTTCTATCTTTTCTCTCTGAAAACTAATTCTCTTCTTTTGTAACTAGAACTATCATAGAAATGTGTACACTTCTTTGAAATCATTGCAAGGATGGATTCAAAGGTTTGCTTTTGGCTGTCTAAACCTGCTTTGACTTAGCAGATCCATTTATATTCTGCTTGTTTATGCTTTCAGGTAAGATTTCATTTGTATAAAAAGCTCTAATGGAAGATAGAAATCATTGCCTTAGATTTATTTGCCATTTTATACGATATGTTTTATAAGATAAATAGTCCTATATCTCTTGACCCTCAGCTTTGGATACAGATTGTACCATAAATTTTTTCAATCTATTTAAAATTTTAAATACCCAAATAAAAATAGAGTTTCCTTCTCAAACCTCAATGCTAAAAATCCTAGCATTTGGAGCAATATCAAATTTTAAAGGAGAAGGGCTGGAGCTGTGGTGTAGCGGGTAGAGCTGCTACCTGCAGTTCTGTTATCCCATATGGATGCCAGTTCAAGTCTTGCCTGCTCCACTTCTGATCCAGCTCTCTGCTATGGCCTGGGGAAGCAGTAGAAGATAGCCCAAGGACCCCCTGCACCATGTGGGAGACCTGGAAGAATCTCCTGACCTCTGGCTTCAGATAGCCCCAGCCCTGGTCATTGCAGTCTTTTGGCGAGTGAACCTGTGGATGGAAGAATTCTCTCTCTTTCTGCCTCTGCCTCTATAACTTTCCCCTTTAAATAAATAAATAAAACTTTTAAAATATTTTAAAGGAGACCAAAAATAAATATGCCTCACAAACATTAAGATCCAAAAAATAAGAACGCAAATAAGACAATAAAATTACATGCCAAAACAGTGGAGATCATTTGGTCAGGTCACAGAAGTTAAGTTTCACTCCAACCCTAAGCCATAGTATTACCATGGGCTCGATCATCAGCTAGTCAGTGTACCATTGGTATAATGGAAATCAGGTATTTTGCTGATAAAGCACACATTTATCACTGCTACTATTCAAATAAAAAAAAAAACAACCTTTGAGGGAATCAAGCGTATCCATGTTACTATGGAAAGACAGCTTCATTTGCTGCTAAAAAAAAAAAAATGCCACCGCTTCAGACTTACCAAGCACTATGATAATAATGAAGGTCAGTACCCTCAGAGCTGAAGTCTTCTGAGAAGTATGCATCTGGAGTGGTTTTCTGCCTCCACTGAAATCCACTGGAACTCAGTCAGTGGACTCAGTGACTGTGTCTCTCTGGGTCACTTTTGTTTACTCTAAGTTCAAAAAGGTTGAATGTTTCTTGGTCATTTGTGTATCTTTATCCTCATCTCTATTCTATATGGTTCTGGTTGATTAGTCACTGAGAGGAAATGTCAGTGAGTTCTGCTGAGTGATTAAGAGGAAGAAAAAAGCCAATGCTGACTACTCATTGGCTCTCCAAAAAGCACAGATATACCAAGAAAAATTACACAACAAGTTTTGTAAAAGGTGGTACTTTTGAAAGCATAAATTGCACATGATAAAATGCACAAAATTTAAGTGTACAGCTTGATGATTTTTGCATATATATTTATATGTGCTTTCATATAATCACTTCCAAGGCCAAGGTATACATCATTTTCATTTCTCAAAGTTTCCTTCAAGTTCCTTCTTGACTCGTTTGGCCAGTTTTTGGACTGAAGTGAAATTCTGTGCATACTTCACTTTAATACTATCCATTGGTTCTTATTAATGTAATATAATTTATTCATTTATTTCCCTGTGGCTTTTGGATTTTTTCAGTTTGGGGCTAACATAAATAACATTTTCATAAGCATTTTTGTTTTGTGCATCTTTTGGCCTGCAAATGCCTTCATTTCTGGGATCTATACCCAGGAATGAAATTAATGGGTCATAGGAAAGTCATGTATGTGATTTTGATAAATACTCCCAGTCTTGGGTTGTACTGTAGCCCCCTCCCCAAATTCACATGGTCAAGTTTTATCTCCCAGTACCTCAGAATATGACCTTATTTGGACATAAGATTATTGAAGATATAATTACAAAGGGTAACAGCAAACTGGAGTTGTAGGGATAGACAAGTTACCAGAGTTCCTTGCGCATTGGCTAATTTTGAATCACTTCACATTATTTGGGGCATCGTTGTCTTTGGAGCTGTTCCAAGTTGTCTAAATCTTGGCCTTGACACAATTAGCAATAGTTAGGAAACTGGCTGGGTATGTTCTTAAGTGAACTGCTCAAAAAGCGGAACTGACCAGCCTCTAGTCAGAACCTCAAAAGTGGGTCTAAAAAACATTATTTTAAAATTAAAAACTATAATAAAATCAACATATTGATTTTCACATTAGTTTAAAGTTTTATTATTTGTGATATTTTGGAGGTCCAAATTATAGAGGAAACTTTTTATCAGGTATTCTATATATCACCTTAAATAATATATAAAATATTTTTATTATGAGAGTAAAAAAGAGGAAAACAAATAGGGATATAAGGAGTCCTTGTCAGCTGATCCATATCTAAGTTTACTATTAAATGGCATTAGTCAATAAAATAGATCTGGGAATTCCAGGATCTTTGATAGTACAGTTTGGCACATGTTGCCTTGGTCTTACCCCTAAGGGCAAAGCTAAAAACTTGTCATGGGACTCCAAATCCCATTAAGTTGGCAGGTACCAATGCCATCTTACTAGTTAAAATGATCAGTTTAAGTGTATAACTGATCATAAAGATAGGAATAAGTGTCAAAGTGATCACATAAATAAGACCAAGTGTCTGCTAATAATAATAGATAGAATTAAAAAGGAGAGTATGGTCCAATACAGGAAGCAGGCCACACAGCAGACTCATAGAATGACAAATTCCCTAAACAGCACTCTGGCCTTGGATTCAGCCCTTCAGGAATTCAGCTCTGGCTGAAAATCTCAGGAGAGCATTTCAGGCATGGAAAGCCAAGACACTCTCACAAAAAAATGACCTACAGGAAAGATCTTTGTGAGTGAGATCCAGGTGGAAAGAAGGAGCCATCAAAGAAGGAGGTACCTTTCTCTGAAGGGAGGAGAGAACTTCCACTTTGACTGTGGCCCTGTCTAAATAATGTCGGAGTTTGTGGACTCAAGAGGCTTCCATAGCCTTAGCAGCTCATGGCAAGAGCCTCGGGTGATCACAGATGTCATAAAGAAGAGTGTCAATTGTTAAATAAACAACAGGAGTCACTGCACTTGCTCCCCATGTAGGACCTCTGTCCTTAATGTGTTGTACTCTGAGAATTAATGGTAAACCTAATCTTCCAACAGTACTTTATACTTTGTGTGTTTGTGGGTGCAAACTGTTCAAATCTTTACTTAGTATAGAGTTTGTCTTCTGTATATAAAGATAATTAAAAATGAATCTAGATGAAGAATGGGAGGGAGAGGGAGTAGGAGGTGAAATGGGAGTGGGGTGGGAGGGTGGATATGGGGAGAAGAACTGCTATAATCCAAAAGCTGTACCTATGAAACATATTTATTAAATAAAGGTTTTCTATAAAAGAGTATTTTATAAGCATGAGTTATATTTTTATGATAATAATTCAAGGTGGCAGTTCCAGCACTTGGGGGGTATGAACTGAGAGTTCAGTGAAGTATTTGTATAGGTTAATGGTATTTTCTTGTAACCAAGGGGAAGAGGTTGTTGTGGTCATGGTCAGAGATGTGGGGCAGGAGGTTATTGTGTAAAACGAGGGCACAGTAGAAGTTGCAAGAGTGTGGGAAGTTCTCTCTCCAGAGGACCTAAGAGTGGGTCTTAATCTGTTCCCTGAGGAAATCAATAATCCCTATTATTAGAATGGCACAGATTGTAAGGAGTACAGGGATGTGTATTTTGCAAGAAAGCAAAGAATATACCAATATCAGGGGCTAAGAAAACAGCAAATTTGAGTAATTAAATACAAGAGTCTCCACTATCAAAGCATGACTTAGAAACTTAAGCCCCAGTGTGGCAGTACTGGTTGGTAGGACCTAATGGAAGGATTTAGCTCCTGAGGACTCCACTCTTATGGATTAATAAGGAGTTGAGGCTGTACATTTGATCTCTTGCTCCCTGCTCCCTCTTGGCCTGTCTTTGCCCTGGATTTTGGGATAATGCAACATAAAGGCCCTCACCAGATGAAACCTCTCAATATTCAGCATCCCAGCCTCCAGAATCATTAGTTAAATGACTGTTTTCTTTGTAAAGTTTCCAGTCTCTTGAACTCAGTTACAACCTGCAGAAAATTTGTCCAATTTTCAGGACTTAGCCCATGACCATTGCTGGAGCAAGGGCCTCAGTTGTCCCAGGTTGAAGCTATTTCTGGAGCAGAGGATAAGTTCAATGTCAAAGCTTTGGGCTGGGGAAACAACCAGCCATCTGAAATATGAAACTGGGGTATGCTTTTCAAGCAGATACCCACTCTAGTTAATATGGGTCTTGATCTTGTGGCTGTATGACATTATTATAACAAGGCTGAGCACTTTATAGAATTTGAAAGTCAAGGGTATCTATTGATGCAAAATTAACAAAGATTATGTGAGCATCCATGAAAGTTCCATAATGCACCAAAGCATCAGAATGGACGAGCACAATTATAACCTCAATTAGGGGAGAAGGAACAAATCTAAAACTCCAAATAGTCCTAGGCATTGGGTGATGAGATGAGTTTTGCTCCAAATAAGTTTGAAATCATACTGCCTAATTCAGGTGTATGCAGTTGATAGACTATCAGGTTGTTTGCTAATTAAAACATATATGGTTGAGACTAGAGCTCCATACTGTGGACAAATCATAATTTACCCAATTAGTATGAACTGTTTGCCTCAGTTGTCAGATTGGTTTGTGACATGTAAACCAATGAGGTTTTCAGGCTAGAGTTTCCATCAGCCAAACTCAATGGCATGCAGGCCTCAGCATTTTTCGTCTTTGATTGAAACATAGCTTACTTGGAAGGTTTGAGCATCTGCACTGCAAATCTGCACAAAGCACCAGACCAGCAGTAACAAGTGCAAGTCAGCAGAAAGCTGAGACTGCACTTGAAAGACTTTCGCTGTCTGATGTTGATTTTTTTCAGTGTGTTTTATTACCAAGGATGCATGGTCTGGTTTTATGATTATGAGATAGGGCATTGATTTTATTATTGTATACGAATGTGATTTTTATTTACTATGTGGAGTTTTTTATCTCTTGTCTTGGAAATCCAAACTGTGGAAATGACCTTGAGGAACTAATTTCAATTTCCTGGAAGATATTAAAGAAAAAGCTCAGATTAATTAACCTCCATCTGTGATCTGAATATTGAGGAAGTTTTTTGAGAGGTTGAAATTCAGATTTAAATGGGTTACATTATTAGATGATTTCATATATGATGAGTCATTGTATAGTAGGAGGTGAGCTATTTCCCCATTAAGTACAGAAAAAGGTAATGGGAAAGAGTTTTTTCAACTAGTGTGAGGTATGAGTTGGCCAAGGGGTCTTGGATTAAAAGAGACTAAGGTCTGATACAAGATATCGACCCAGCTGGGGGTTGTTAGACTGGACTTTAAAAAAGGAATTATTTGAGGAATTATTATAACTCAGATTAAATAGGCTGCCTCAGATCTAGTAGAGTGATGACAGTTTTACTGATTGCCCTTCCTATGAGCTCAACATTGTACATTTGAAAGTGAAATATATGTCTTGATCATCATTAGTAATGTTTGGAACTCTGGAAGAGATAAAGAGTATCCCAAAGAGGCCTTATATTGTGTTTTAATTTATGTAAATATACGTGTGGTTTTGATTTACATTTTGGATTCTGTGAGACAGGAGATTCCCAAAGTTCTTTACCCTGAATAGAATAACTCTTATGCAGTGGTCCCAAAGCTTGTAAAAATGTTCCTGTGAAGCGAGTTGGGGACCATGACATCCAGAACAAAGATGACTGTCCAAAGTTTGTGCGATTGTGCTGACCCCTGGATCTCATCTTGTGTCAAGACATCCTGGGTAATGAATGGAAAGCAACCCATTCCACTGAGCTCCATCATCTTCCATGGTGACAGTGACATCCATATAGTCTAGAAGCTCTCATTGCTATTCACTCAGTCACTCTCAAGGGACTCACTAGGTAGCCAAAGGGACTTGGGGAGGGGTGACCTCCTCCAGCACCATGGCATTTGGCAAAAGACTGAAGACTGGAAAACCACTACTTCCTTCAGGAGAAATATTTCAGGGGGCCCAGGTTTGACACCATTGTATATCAAAAAGATCTGTTGGCATATCAGTCTTATGGTATTCTGCCTGAGTGCCCCAAAGCATGAAGGGCCACTGTATTGGTTGGGTCACATGTGACAGCCTCTATTTCCAGGAGAATCCAGTAAATGCTAAACAACTTTTGCTCTGATGAGACCTAAAGAGTGTGTATTTTGCCTCCGAGCTCACGGACAACAATGGACTCATAGAGAGGATGTTGTCTCTGCCGTGAGTGAGTCTCTGAGGTCATGAATGGGAAGTCCAGTTTATTTTAATTTAGACCAATGTTAAAGCCTCTTTATAGGGGGCAGGTGCCATTAAAAATGAACTTAGTTCTAAGCAGCAGCCTTGGGGATATTAAGCAAAACTGGTAAATGAGGGGTATGTTGCTTCCAGAACCTCCAAAGGACTAGAAGATATTGGACTTGTGTAAAATAAAACTCCCTGGAAAAGGATGTCATTAGTATGTCATGCTTGTGCCCCCAGAGGAAGGCAGATGCAGTTAAATTTTCACCTGTTGTGGTTTTCAGTTGCTGTCCATCAATACTGCATAGTACAAAACTTCTAGACTGACAAGAAATGTGGCCAGCAGGAGGGTAGTTGGTGGCCTGCTTCACAGTCAACCTCTCCTTCTGAGGCCTCCCAGTCTAACCATCAGGGATTGGGGCTCAGACTTAGACAGCCAGACCAGCCTCTCCTTGTGACAGCACAATTAGCTTCTGCTATGCACTGTTAGCATCTACTGGATATTCATAGGTTGAAGCTCTAATCCTTAGTGTGATAGTACTTGGAGACGGGGACTTTGGAAGGTAATTCGATCATGAGTGATGCCTTCATGGAATGGTTAGTGCCCTTTAATAAAACCTCTTTGGTACCTACTGATAGGTATCACACTTGGGTATGACACTGATTTATATTTTCATGATGGTAGTTATATTTTTATTTCTAAAGTAGCACTTCCTTGGACGTTTATTCCAGGGGAGATCTGACAGTGATTAATTCTTTTAGTTTTTGCTTGTCATGGAAAAGTCTTAATTTCTCCTTTTCTTTGGAAGGACAGTTTTGCCAGGTAGAGTATCCTT